ACTATTATTATTATTATTATTATTATTATTACTTTACAGCAGCCCTGTTAAAGGGGCACGTTCTGCCAGAGCTGGGCCCGTGATACTGTTGTTATTACCCAAACCCTCAGCTTTACTGCTGCAGAAAATGGTTCTTCTTCCTTCACCTTCTACAAGATGCTCCCGGCCACAAGCCATGGGTGCTGTGAGACCCCAGGGAGCATGAATCACTTCGCAGCTATAATTGATGTGTTGCTGTTATTTAGCTGCTCAGCTGTCTGCAGTGATTAATCGCATGCGGGCGTGTGCAGAGGGCTCCAAATGTTGGATTATCATCTGGCTGTCATATTTCATGCAGATGGATCTGCCCGACGATGAGCCCGATCGATTAAGTAACAGAACGTTTCGGTACGACCCGGGCCAAGACAAATGGACAGAAGGGGCACCAATGAAGTACTCCAAGTACCGCTTCAGCACAGCCGTGGTCAGCAGTGAGATTTATGTCTTGGGTAAGAGGAAACAGATTTTTAACAGATAGCACCACGACTTTTTCTTCTTTCCAGCAATTTGCTGCTGCAAAGTGAAATATCTCACCCTTTGCTATGAGCTGTAGGACAAAGTATGTTGGACTGAATGGACAGTATTTTTTCTGGAGTTATTTTTTTCCCCACACCATTTATTACTTCCTTAATTTATATAGATTAAATTAAGTGGATGTTTAGTATTCTGGATTAATATAATAAAGATACTTCGCTTTTTAAACTACTTTTCTTTGGAGAATCAGTGTGTGCTATAAATAATAACGCATTTTTTAAAGGTGGGTAGAGAAGCCTCCTTAGCACCTTTTCCCAGGTGAGCAGTGAAAAGCTAAGGAACACACACAGTGTCATGAAGGAACAGCACAGGGAAATCAAATAACATTAGAACTAATTTTTTAATGAAAAGACACTGAGGCTAAAATTATTTGCCAGCAAATTCTACCCTTGAATATGCTGGTTTCAATCCACTTTATACTGTATGGGTGGGAATGAAGGTTTATCTGTTAAAATTGAGAAGACAATGTGGTTGGCAAATGTTAACTGTCGTGGTCTGAAAGCTCTATAGAGGTGATCAAGGCATTTTCCAAGAACTCTCAAAATGAATCAGTTTCCAGACAATTTATGTTTGGAAACAGTGATACAGTCACTGATATTGGCATCTTCCTCTGCTGATATCACACATGGCCTCATCTCCAGCTGTAAACTCACACTCACCAACTGTAATTAAAGCCTCACACAGATAAACTACATTCCACGGTTTATTCATGGTGACAAGTTCTTGTTACCTTTTGAGTTCTCAGGCTGCTTGGCTGTGAGGTTGGAAGAGTTTTCCTTCAGAAACAATTGTTACGAACAGGGTGAGAGAGGGATTCATGGCATTGACAGGAAGGCACTGAAGGTGCTCCTAATCTGCCTGATGTGGTACTTGATCATGCAGATGACATTCAGGAGAGAATGGGAATGGAAAGAATAGAGGTTGATAGTGACAGACCAAAGAATAGCAACTGTCAGGATGGTGAAACCTCTGCAGACTGTTCAAAGCTGCAGATCCCTCAGACATCATCTAATTTCAGAAGGAATGCCAGGCACTGTGGGAGTCACAGACATTCTGAAGTGGATGAGAGCTCATAGGTTGTCCTCATGTAGTGGTTTCAGAGGCATCAGTGTTTAAGCATAATGACTAGGCTTTTGTGCTACAGATGAGTGGATTGCTACTTTTGTGGAGTCTCTACCATTGCCATTGATACCCATTCTCCCTCCAAATGGGGAATTCCCAATGGAGGACTGTAAGTGTGTGTGCACAGAACATGAACATCTAGCAGGTTCCCTTGGAGCCCGAGTCACAGGACACTTGGTGAAGGAGCAATTCAGAAGCTTGCTTGATGGCAGTGCTTGGATTCCCACAAACATCACCCGCTTTTCATATCATATGTTTTCCCTATGTGGTGCAGTGTCTCCATGGGCTCCCTGAAGTCTGCACCCATTTAAGGAGATCCACTGGGGGCTACTGGGGACAGAGGAAGGAGAGGGAGGGAGCCAAGGTGGAAACAGGCAAATGCAGCACATCTTCTGTGTGCCAAGAGGACCAAGCCCTGTTTCCCAGAATTAAAAACATTAAATAAAGACATATATTGCTTTAGCTATGTACATAGTGTTGCAGAGAGATGAAACTTCTTTCAAGCAACTCTTGAAAACAAAGTCCTTACATGAACTAAATTCATCAGCTCTTTCAAGCAAGATCTCTGTCCTCCGGTACAGCTCATACAGGTGCCAATACATTTAGGATTAGATGGGACTCTAGAGCATAAATAAATCACTGCAGAGGAAGTTGATCCTCTCTAGTGTCTCCAATGTACGAATTCTATCATAAAAAACCCACAACAAACATAGATGGAGCACTATCTTTGAGTAGCAGCAGTAGCAGATTCTTTGATATACAAGTACAATCTTTGCTCTCATCCATGTAGGTGTATATCTGTAGACAGTAGTCTGCTGATCTCAATTGAGTTGTGTCAGATTCATTGTGGTCTAACTCAGATCAGAATCTGATGCCTTTGAAGTGTTAATTTCTGCAAAGTCCTATCAGAACAGAACAGAGAGTTCATAGTCACTTTCCAAACCCTCTTCCTAGCCTAACTGTGAGCTCCAGTGTGTAAAATCTTAATGACTTAAATGAATTTATTCTAGAGTCACAGAGATGGAAGGAAAATAAGAAATAGTTTAGAGGTTTTGGTCTGAGTAATAACATTATTCAGGAACCTGTACCATGTGTCTTGATCAGCAGTCCTGCAATATAATTGTTTGCTGTGTAATGTTCCTAGAGAATGTTATGCTATTTATATAGTGTACATAATCCTCATAAGTAAATGAACAGCATTTCCTAAGGCTCAAAATCCTTTCTCCTATTCATCCCATTTAACTGGTCTTAGCTCTTTCTCTCCATATTTTCCCAGGAACATAACTATATTCGTTGGAAAGCCCAAGAAAGAGCAGTATTGTGTTCTTAATGACAGAGGCAATTGAGACACTTTTGGAAGAAAACCAGATGGGAGGGCTTTATTTAAGGTTATGCATTTTAATCTCTTGCTTAAAAAAATATCCCTTCCAGATAAGTCTCTGAAAACTTATTGCAGCCAATGTACAAATTAGGAAAATTTACCCAAATGAATCAATTTGAATGCCTATTCATTAGCTTATGTTAAAACACATTCAGTAGAACTACTGTCTCTGAAATACAGGTCACTGGTAAAAATGTTGTATCACCATGACAGCTTTAACCATGTGTTGCTTTTATGTTATATAATTCCTGCTTTATAAATAAGAACATATAGAAGGACTGAAATGAGAAAACCTATTAGGAAAGATTAAGGAAGCAAAGATTTTTTGTTTATCCTCCTTAGCCTGGCATCTCACCTCTTACAAATTGGCTTTTTTTGTCCCCTGAGTTCTTGCTGAGATCTTATTTTAAATTTTTAAGCATTTAACTGAGGGTCAATTGAATACTGAATGTTTCAGTGATAAAATGCTTATTTAAGTATGTACATCAGGGGAAAGAATATGTAGGATGGGCTGAAAGGAGACTTTCTAGCTTTCATACTTGAGTATTAAATGTGCATTTGAATAACACCTTCTAAAATAAACATGTCTATTTATAAATATGCTTTGGACTTCTGGCAAGGTGCAGCTTATTGGCCTGATTCTGCCCTGTTATACCTTTGCAACAGCCTCCACAGTTCCCCCATAGGGAGGAACAAAAAAGGCAAACATGTGGACTGATAGGTGAGATCAGAAATGCTTTCTACTCACTTCAGGATAACCAAAGAAATAAGAAAAAGGCATTGCAGGAGAAAAGAAGGAGCTTGAACTGAAGCACCCACCATATTTAGGAAGACAATCACCTGTTTTTTCAGCCCTGCTTCTAATCACTCTTTTGCCCTCGTGTCTCCTATAAGCTGCATTACCTCATCTGCTTTGCTCTGTGTTAGTAAAGGATGACAGTGCTTCTCGGTTTTACCTCTGGACGTGCCTGCCAGGGTGAGCTTTATTGCTCCCTCATTTCTCTGAGAAACCAGCTATGCAGCCCTGCCCTGCAGGGTGAGAGCAGCCTAAGTGCTGCCACTCTCAGCCCAAGTGCTGTTAAAGAGTAATGAAGGGAAATGTTACATAAGAGATTGAGGCTATTAAATCCATTGTGCATTCCAGAGATCAATTTAAGAGTGAATTATTTTACAGGAGGCAAAGCTTGGATTTCACTTGCTTGTTGGAGATTTACTCCATCTATTTCCTAAATTCCTTTGATAAAAATTCAAGGAGGTGCTAGTAAGAATAAATATTGCTCAGTATTGTGATCTGAGGACTTAATTATATGATACAAAATTATGGTGTCAATGCCCCGAGGGCACTAATAGGTCTTGATCATCCTGACCAGCATCACCTGGGGTCTCCACCCACACCCTCTGCTCATAGGTCCAGGAACATCATTTAAGCACAGGCCTGGGGTAAAAGCAGCCTTTTCTTGTCTGATTGCCTTTGCCTAACCACTGCTGATAGGACCTTCTGCAATTGCCTGCCTCTGGTTCTGTGGAGCTGTGCCCTGATGGTGAGCTTGTTACATGGGTCTCCTTCCCTTTGGGAGCAGCCCTGCTCTTGTTGCTCCTTGATATACTGCACTGGCTTGAGAGACTGTAGTTCATTTCAGCTACCTATTAGTGGAGGAAATAAATTAAATGGTATGATGTGATACTCAAATGTCACTGTCATCCTGCCCCTCTCAATGGGATACATAAACTCAGTCCTGTCTGGACCGCCAACCATGTTGTAGGTGCCGTTTTGGTCAGTCATCCTGCCTGTGCAATGAGCAATCTGGACTTGGATCTGAGTGGCTATCCTGGGGGGGAAGAGTTGTCTGTGTTAGACTCAGCTCCCTGATAGATTGAGCTGTGTAAGACCTTGGTGTGGATGAAATGTGAAGCTGCAATTGCATCAGTGCCTGCTTTTACAAGTACCAGTGACATGGATTATGTCAGTGGGTACATGTAGGTAGGAGTGATCCCTATCTCTTGAAACTCAACAACATGTCAGTCTCACTGAGATTTCTCTAAGACACTGATTTTTTACCAGTGACTTTTTACCACTTCACCACTGTTACAGACATTTCTAGAGCACAAGTCTTATGAGGAGCAGCTGAGGGAATGGGGGTTATTTAGCCTGGAGAAAGGAGGCTGAGGGGAGACTTTCTTACTCTCTGGAGTTACCTGAAGGAGGTTGTGATGAGATGGTTGTTGGTCTCTTCTCCCAAGTAACAAGTGATGGAACAAGAGGAAATGGCCTCAAGTTGTGCCAGGGGAGGTTTAGATTGAATTTTAGGAGAAGTTTCTTCCCTGAAACTGTTGTCAGGCACTGGAACAGGCTGCCCAGGGAAATGGTGGAGTCACCATCCCTGAAGGGATTTAAAAGGGATTTAAGGGACGTGTAGATGTGGTGCTGAGAGACATTGGTTAGTGGGGATTTGGCAGTGCTGGGTTAACAGTTGGGCTTGATGATCTTAAAGGTCTTTTCCAACCAAAATGATTCTGTGATTCTATGAATGTGGGGTAGGGGGGAGGCAGTCAACCTCAGCCAAAGCAATATGTTTTGCTTTCAGCCAGCTACAAGCAGCATGTGGGTACAGCAAGGCACAGAGCTGTACCTCATTGAAATTCTGAAGATGTGCTCATCACATCACCTACCCCGCTTTGCCTTCTTGTATCAAAGGCTTGTCTTCTCTATCCTGATTTCTTAATAAAGATCATGTATTTTACTTATATAATTATTTTACTAATGGAGCTTCATTTTAAATTTAAAGTCCATTAGAACCACTGCTTACAGAGTGCCCTTGAAAGTATGTTTGATTGCAGAACTATCCAAGCATGATATGGAAAGCTCTCAAGCATTAATGAGTTTGGGAACACAAAGGTGGCTTCACTGGCTTTTTCAGTCCTGCAGTGGCATCTGGAATATCTCCTAGGGAAAGCTCATAATGTAAAAAGGCTAATGTGATGAAAGATTGTATTTGTAAGGGACAGAGGAGGGGAAGACTGACTTCTGCAATTAAATCCTCTTGTGTGATGAATGTGAAAATGACAGAAATGTTCAAAACTCCCAGTGAGAAATCAGTCTCCCTCTGCACTAAGGACATATAATTGGGCTTTCTGCAGAGCAACTAAGCCAGGTGGTTTTGCATTCACCCCCTCTGTTCCTGACAAGATAGGTGAGTGAGACTTAATGAAGGACTTCTCCCAGCATCCATTCCAGGCCAGGCATGGAAATAGCAATTTCTGCTCTCTGCCCACCTCCTGGGACTCCTGAAAGGCTGTGACCACAGCAGGTGTGTTTTAATGATCTCATCTGTAGCTCTGGGTGGTGTGAGGTAGAGTTGCAGGTACAGATGTATGTGCTGCTGGTGGGTCCCTTGGCACAAGAGTCTCCCCTAAATGACCTGCAGCCCTCTGCTCTCCTTCCTGCACTGTGCCATGGACCCTTAAAGGTTATCCCCATTTCATATAGTGGCTCCTGTAGGAGCAGAGCATGAACTCAGTTGTTCAGCTGCTCTACCCAGAGAACATTAAATAAAGACAATCTTCATGGTCTTAACTGCAATTCCATATGTCTCCACTTGCACTCCTAATGGTTCCATAAATCTGAATGAAGAAGGCAGGGGGACAGGGGTGATCTGGAGTTGTGAGTGACAGAGCACAAAGCCGCCTGAATTGTCTAACACAGAAAGCCTCTTTTTTCCTGCCTGTCTTGCGTGGTATATACATTGTAGATAATGGATAGCCTGGTTAAAATGAGATGCCTCCCCTTGGTTGCATTGATTTAAGTTTGAAAATATTTTTCTTCTGATTTGTGCATTCAGAGTATTCAGGAGTGTTTCTCAGCTACCACATCTGGGAAGATGGCAAAGCAGTGCTGGCAGAATCTAATATCCTTAGATTCCTTTTTTTAGCAATATTTCAGTGTTAGCATTGCTTTAGAAGAGAAGACTGGAATTGTCCATTTCTTGGTTTTCAGAATTCTTTCTAAGCTTGAAAATTAAATTTTACTCCCCATTGATTTTTTTTTTCCTTCTTGCTTTCTATTTGCTAAGAATGCAGCTTCACCCTTGTTGTAAATTGAACATGAAATTGGATTGATCTGAAATGGCTGTGGAGGGCATAAATAAAATGGAGACATGTTGTACCTTCAGGACTGTTTCTGATAAAGACAGGATTACAGGAGGTTAAATTTAAGTTGCTTAAACTATCTGTGAAGGTTTCATAAATGCTGATCGCTCTTAAAAGTTTGAAAAGATGCTCCAGTAGGTCATAAAATTCTACTTTTGTAATAACTAGACAGGAAGATATATGGAGGCTGGTCCCCTGGACTGGCAGCTGAATGTCTTCATTAACTGGTAACACTTGTGTTTTTTGCCAGAAGTCTCTGACTGTGTGATACCAGTTTTGTACCTGATTATCTCTGTTCTCTCTGCAGTGACCATGCCCTACAGTTATTCAATGTAGAAAATTAAAATAAAAATGCAGTTAAGAAATAAACAGCAAGTATGCTTCTAGAAGAGTTCTGGGGGCATTTAGTGCACTGCCCCTCTTGAAATACTGAAGCCATTGGCAAAGCTATTGTTGTTTGACATGCTGCATGATCCCCTGACTGGTACCATTCATTCCTCTGGTTGAACAAGATGCTCTTTCATTCCTCGCATGAAGGGTTTTCTGTCAGGCCAGGGCATGTTCTTTAGTGGTGTGTAGTAACACCTGGGCTTGTTTTAAAAAAAGTGAGCTCAATAATCAGCAGTAGTCTGTCTTGGGCACCACAAAGCTGTCTTTTGTGCAGATGAAATTATTCTGTGGGGAGCTTTAATATTATTGGTTCCCTGTTAAAACTGCCTTGAGCATCTCTTTCTATGTTGCAGTGCACTTTGTAGACTGTACCTACCCTGGTGGAAAATTGTCTTGCATGCTGTACTCTGTGATTCTGCCTTAGGCTGCTATAGAATCAGAAAAATTAAGTGATAAACTGCAGATTAAATAGCCTTATCAGTTATACAAAATTTTATCCCTTAAACATTTATTAATAAACATAGGGGTATTGTCCTGTCCTTAGAGTGGCACCTCCCTTATAAGCAATTAAGGAGAAGGATAGAAGAGGATAATACTCCTGGCTTAAAGAACAATATAATAAGTACATTTATGAATTCTGAAATTAATTCTTATTTCCAAATAAGCTTAAGGAATAGCTCAGTAAGGCTCCATTGTGAGAAAGGCTCAGCATGATGATGCATACAATTCCCTTTTTGGCATGGAAATGATTGGCAAAATTCCAAGACCACAATTCTTTCCTACCTCAGCTCTCGTAGGTGAATCAAGCCTCAGAGGAGGAGCCCATCAGAGCAAATGCTGCTTCATTGGGGGTGTTAAGCTACTAATAAAAACATTTGGATGTGAGCCTTGCTTAAGCACACGCTGAAGGGAGCCTAATACAAACTGCTAGGATCTTGTTGGTAAGTACTAGGGCAAGTTAAGGTTTGCTGTGTATGGAAAAGGAGCTGAAAACCAAAGCCAGTGCAGGTTTTCAAACTCCAACATTGAACTGAATCAAATGCTAAGCTCAGGTGGAGGAAAAATTTCTGCTGATGATTATGGATGCTGAATTCTGTTCTAATTTTGCAGCTTTGTTGCAGGCATAACTTGTCCTTAACTGACTCTAAAATACAGATCAGGAATCCAGTGGTAGCAAATTTGAAGCATTACAGTCCCCATTTACATGTTGCCTCTTCTTGCAAATACCTTTGGAGAGTGTTTGGAAAGGTTGAAAAAAATAACACAATCCACATTAAGAGGTGGATGGAAAACCATGCAAAGATAAAAATTGGAGCATTAGGGACTCATTTCTCTGACAGACCAGCTTAACTGCACGGGAGACAATATATTTTAAAAGCAGCCTCATGAACCTCGTGCAGGTTTTCCTTTCCCTTGGCATATGCAAGGGCATAATTACATGTCACACAATGCATTTTGGATTTGCACAATTGAGCAGTCCTACACGTGTATCTGGAAGGCAGCCTTCCTGTGGAAATTGCTTGCATATTGTAGTTAATTTAGATTTAAAAGTGGTCACACACACACATGCACAAAAGAACTGCTTCAGTGCACCATCAGTGCTCATTACAGGGTATTGTGCCCATTGGCACAGATGGAAAACCTGCGAGGGTACGTCAGCATAATAATTCTTGAGAACTAAAGGCTGTGAATTCAAAATCTGGATTTGATCACTGGAAAAGATTTGGAAAGACAGTGTTTACAATGTGATTTTGGTGTACAGCATCTGCAGCATGTGCTGAGATTGCAGGTATGTCTGCAGCCTGCTGCACTGTGCCCCAGCAGATGAAATCTGGGATCTCTTTGAATCCTGCACACCCACTTTAAGCACCCTAGTTGGCCCTTCAGCAGTAGGGCTTGTCCCAAATAATCAGCTGGGCACTCCTGAGTTTGGATGGGTTGGTTTCTGGAAGCTGATTTGCCTTAAGAAAAGGGTGTCATCTTTTTTATTGAACACGACCAACCAACAAATCCAAATTATTGTTGTTAAACAAGTGTGAGGGTCAAATCCACTAACAGTAATTGGAGAATAACTTTTCATCCACTGCAACTCAATGATAAAGCAATTTGTCCAGCACACAGAACAAGCAACCATGACAATTTCTACTAAATAGGCAGAAAAGGAGGCAAAGTACCTTTGTGTTTTGAAGACATGCTCCTTGTTTTTCCTTTGGTAAAAGACTCAAGAAAGGATCTTCCTTTGTCTGTAGATAATGTGTAGTAGCCTCTGCTTTGAGTTTTCTTTCTAAAATTTCTGGAGCTGCAAAAAGAAAAAAACAAACACAACAAAAAGAAACATGAGGAGATGGAAACAAGAAATCATGCAGCCAGCAATGTCCTTTTCAGAACCTGGGACTGCTCCATTTGACCTGCATATCTTTTGCAGGAGGAATTGGGTGCCTGGGTCGTGACAGGGGACAGACACGGAAATGTCTTGATGCAGTGGAGATTTATAACCCTGATGGAGACTTCTGGAGGGATGGACCTCCTATGCCTTCTCCTCTCCTCTCCTTACGGACAAACTCTACCAGCGCAGGCTCCGTGGAAGGGAAGCTGTACCTCTGTGGAGGATTTCGTGGAGCAGGTACTAAGATCAGTCCGACGTTCTTTGCATAATTGAAATCAGTTTCACTGTACTGAGCCTGACCTGGTTACCAACCAACCCAATCAGGTGGCCCTGGCATGCCCTGGAACCCCAGAGCTGATTCAGCCCTTTGGTCTGCCAGCCCCTAATGTCAATATGAATTGCATTCTGCTTGTCCTTTGCTTTTTTTCATAACAAAACATGAAAAATTAAGGTTATTTCTGATCTGTGCTAAACCTGTCAAAATCTACATCCAGAGCTGCTAAGATAATGAACTTAGTGTGCTATGGATATTAAAGAAATTGGACATATTTGTTGAAGATTAAGGCACTATCCATTCTATCCTTAGCTGAGCTATCTCGCTCTGCTTATTTACTTTCATGTGTTTCATAATCAGTGTTGAAAAGCTTGTGTACTTAATGAGGTACAAAGAGACTAAAATTCCAGATCTGGTCATTTCAAATAATCCTAGCCCCATGGCCACCCTGCTCCTTTTAAGTCTTCCTCCTCCCAGCTGTGCTTGGCTCTATCTAAATTTCCAGCACTGCTAACCTTTTTTTAATTATAAATGCAAAGAGTGTCTCAAAACTTGCACACTTAAACTCTCCTGCTACATAGAGCTGCTCCCCCAGTTTCCTTTCTAGGAGAAAGTAGTAATTCAGATGCATTATCCACTGTTAATAAATGTCATGTCAGGCTCACTGCTGTCCAGGAATGGCCACTTGGTACCACTGGGTACACATTAGACTGACTCCAGTTGTGTTGACTTTTACTTGTATAACAAACTCTAAACTTAAAGCTGCTGTTATTTTAGAGTGATGATTTTTATCAGATAGTTCACAACTCACCTTCCCCTCCCTCCACTTGCAGCTGTTGGAGGAAGCTGCTTTCTGAAAACAATTGTATGGCAGCTCTCTAACAGGCACGTTCTTGTGTCATCTCTGATGGAATTTCTGTGACCTCATAGTGATTATGGTTATGACACATTGCTGTGTTTCCATAGCAAACACTGTGCCAGCATATTCCTCTTTTTCTTTAGGGAAAACTTGAAAGTTAGTGGGTACAAATATCAAAAGGCTGATCATTCACACTGGCAAATGAAGCAATTTCATTCAAGATGACTAACAGATTAGTATGAGTTTTTCTGAATAAGGTAGATTCAGAGCAATAAAAACACTCTCTGTATAATACCACCACATTCTGTCACTGAGTCACATAAGAAGAGTGGTAGGACTGGGAGAGGCTGAAAATCCCCCCAGTGGATTTCAAGACAGCCATTGTTTGTGTGTCTAACACCAGCTCAATGGGGTCTTGACTCCTGACTGTACTACTGCAATGTATATGATTGTGTATAGAACTCTCCTGCACTAACCCTGTAACTTAGATGGGAAAACCAGAAATCAAGAGTTAGCAAATGCCAGTTTTAGTGTTATCTGTGCAACCTGAGTTCTGACCCCTAGGGGTGCATTTTGTACGTCAGCAAAGAAATAGTGTTGTTAATGATTAGTAGTAGTGGTTGTGTTGTTAGACTTTGAAATAAAATTCTCACTGTCAACTGTAAATGAGATGTATTCACATTTTTGAGGAGTTGAGGAAGTTGTGCCTTAAGGACAGGCTTCTTAATGTGACTTTCAAATTATTAAAGGAAAAGACCTTTCCAAATCTTCATAACAACAACAACTTTGAGCTGCCATCATCAGGAAGATGCTGATGGCTGCAGTCCCTATGCTGGACCTGAAGAGGTTATCTAGCTGGCCTCTCTCCCTCACCCTGTCTTTGTGTGCTGGAAAGAGCTCTTGCCTGATCTGCTCTTTGGGGGCAAAGGGTGGCATGAGAGAGGGCTATTACTGTCCTTTGGGAACTTGGAGAGGGTGACTTGACTGGTCTGTCACAATTACAGCTGCTCAGCAGCTTCAAGATATTCACAGAACAGCATGTGCTGCTGCTTCAGTGGTAGATAGGGTTATTTTAGAATGTGCTTGTTTGGTTTTAGTCTTTTGGGTTTCTTGGCATTGCACTTTGGTTTTTGTGAGGGATGCAACCAAAAGAGGATATTCCAATTTTACAAAACATTGTAATTTAGTTTCAACCAAGTGGTGCTTTTTGGAACAAGCTAGAGGCACAGCTGTAGTTTCTGGGTTTTCTGCCTGCTGA